GCTGTTTAACTTATTCTCTTTCATAATGTGAATTACATTTGCAGTTTCAAAAATAGTATTGTAATTTTTATTTAAATGTGAAAATTGCTTTTCATTTATATTAAGTTGCTAAAATGGAAGATGCATTTTGTTTTTTATTACTATAACAAATACTAGAGACTAGGTAACTTATAAAGACGTGGACTTAGCTCATGGGTTTGGAGGCTGAAATTCTAGGCAGCCTCTGCTAGATCTGGCCAGGTCCCCTCTTGCTTCTGTGTTCCCTGGCCTGATATCAGAGCAGTGGGAAGCACCAGAAGGGGAGATCTCATGGAGAGAACAGAAGGGACCAGTGATGGCATTTCTTCAGGGTTCAAGAGAATTTAATGATTTCAGGTTAGCTTCATTTGATTGTTACATTATTTTCTGCTTTCTCATTGTGAAAAGTGGTAAGTTTTATTCAGACCTAAAAGTTAGAGAGCCAGTGATTATAATTGCTACTTTTTCTTCTAACAGATGTATTAGTTAAATTAATGTATCATACAGTATTTCAAATGTCATGATAAACACTTTAAAGAACTTACTAAATGCTAATGTGTGTTAGTCTGTCTTTTAAAAGGTGTAAGTATATTTAAGTATTTTAAAGAAAAGGGAAAAAAGTATACTGCATGAAATTAGGTATCAACTAAATTGTTAACCATTTGTATAAAGTGTTATAACTTTTATACTTCTAAAAATTAAAAATAAAATGTATTTCTATAATTAAAAAAAAAAGAACCTTCAGGCTGTGTTCTGGGGAGCCCCAGATCCAGTCCTAGCCTAGGCCCTGGTGAGTGTGTGGGAGAGCTTCAGGCTACCCTGCACCAGCTGGACCTGGAAGTCCAAGCCCAGGTGCAGTGTAGGTGAGACCCTCTTCCACCCCCTTGGGACACCCACCACCACTCCGCAGCAACCCCCACCCCGCCTATCCAGTGAGAAATTTCTGAAAGGTTCTGGGGACCTCCAGATCCAGTCCTAGCTCAGGCCCTGGTGAGTGTGTGGGAAAGCTTCCAGCTGCTCTGTGCCTGTGGGACCTGTCATTCCAAGCCCAGGCACAGCGTGGGTGAGACCCTCTTCCACCCCCTTGGGGTCCCCCCACCACTCCACAGCAGCTCCCCCCACCCTGCCCACCCAGTGAGAATTTCTGCCGCATTCTGGGGACCCCCAGATCCAGCCCAAGCCCGGTGAGTGTGTGGGAGAGCTTCCTCTCCCCACTACTCCATTTTGTCCCCTTCAGACTCAGCTCAGGCCTGGCATACAGGCTTGGGGGGAAACCCTGCAGCTGCAATCCCTGCAGAAAGAGTAGGGGACAGAACCACCGAGTAAGTCCAGGAGCAGAACATCTTGCCAGAGTGGCACAATAGGATTACTCCCACGGCGGCTGCAAGAAGGAGCTGAGCTCAACAGCCAGACCCAAATCATACACAGTTGGATAAATCCAAACTTTGTAGATCTGCACCTGAATTTCAGTAGGTGCTAAGGTTATAACTGCACCAAATATCTACAACAAAGGTCAGAAGACAGTGCTACACAAAATGACAAAGAGAAGGAGCAAAATGCAATCTCAGAACCCAAGGCCACCCATAACAAGTGCAGAGGACACTAACACAGAACAAATTGGGAATCACACAGCTGAAATCAGTGAATCAACAGCTTCTGAAATAAAGAAACAACTGCAAAAAGGTATAGAGGAATTCAGATTGGAAATGAAAGAAGAAATCCCTGAATTAATAGCATCTGCAGTAAAGAATCAAATGCAGAAACCTATGGAGGAAACCCAATGCCCACACAGAAAAAGTGCAGAGGACACTAGCTCAGTTCAAATGTATGAATTAATAGTGCTGATAGTAAATAAGCAACAGCAGAAAGTTATAGGGGAACTCAGAGCAGAATTCTTTTCTAAAATAAAAAAAGAATTCTCTGAAGTCATAGCATCTGAAGCAAAGAATCAACTACAGAAACATGGAGGATATCCAATCTGAAAAAAAAACACTGCAGTAAAAGAATCAATAACTGCTTCTAAAGAAGACATTGACAAAAAAAATAGAAGAGATTAGAAAAATGAGAGATTCCTTGAATGAGCAATACAGGAAATAAATAGATTGTATGAAGCAGAGTCAAAGAGATATAGAGGAACTTAAATACTCAATCACAAGCTTGCAAAACCATTTGAGTGAAAGTGAAGACACAGTTTCAGACCTTGAAGATGCTAGTGCAGTTAGTAAAAAGGTAAGAAAAGATCTCTTAAAAACAAATAGGATACAGGAAAAAATAATTTGTCACTTGCAAGACCATGCAAAGATGAACTATGTGAGACTAACAGGTATCAGTGAGAAAGAAGGAGTCAATACAAATGACATTAAACAAATATGGGCAGAAGTAATAGTAGAAAACTTCCCAAATATAAGGAAACAATGTGACATTCAGGTAAAAGAATCATACAGAACACCAAGTAACCTCAAGTCAATTACAAACACATCAAGATATGTAATACTCAAGATCCCAGAAATTCAGCATAAGAATACAAAACTGAAAGCCACTAGAGAAAAGAAGCAGATCACATTCAAAGGAAAACTCATCAGAATTACGACCAACTTCTCTTCACAAACCATGAAGGCAAGAAGAGCATGGAGCAGAGTTCTTCAAGTCCTCTATGAAAATAAATTCCAGCCCAGACTACTGTACCCTGAAAAACTCTTTTTCAAGATTGATGGAGAAGTGAAATACTTGCATGACATATAACAACAAAAGAATTTCATGATAAGAAAGCCAACCGTACATAGGCTACTGAAAGATGTTCTAGAGAGGGACCAAAATGATCAGAACTACACGAATGAGATCAGAAGCAACCAACTAAATAAGGCATACAATTAAGCACAAGAAAAAAAGGAGTAAACAACAACAGGTAAATAACTTGTCAATCATAAGTCAATGCATTTCAATTATAACTATCAATGTAAATGTACTCAATTCACCAGTTAAAAGAAATAGACTGGCACAGTGGATTAGGAAACAAAATCCAACAATATGCTGTATACAAGAAACA